CCGTCTCGGGTCGCACCCTCGAGACCCCAAGAACTCTACCTCCTCATAACAGCTATGGACTCGTCCTACTGGTTCCTGAGAACCTCAACATACGTTTAGATACTAGTTCTAGACCACTCTCTGCACTGCTCTACCTCACCGGGATCTCCACCGCTCTCGCGTATGCCAATTGTACATAGTACGAGACTCGATAGACATTTGAATAAATGATCCTACCTCAAATCCACAACCAAAAAATGAATAGGAAGAAAGGCTAAATCAGGCATTCTAAGGCTATAAAATCCTAACTGTGTACAACTATATGACATACGCCAAACAAATAATTAAGGTAGATGCGATCTCATAAGGAATGAATTCCTAGGCTAAGGCATCATTAATCATGCAACATACATATTGTTTCAACAAGATTCCTTAGCCTACACCTAGCTAGCATGCAATTCTAACTGCTCATAATACAACATTTATGCTTAAAATAATAATGAGGTATTTTGGGAAACTACTGCTCGAGCGTTGGTCGATTGTACACACTGCTTCTCTGGGTTTTTCCTTCTGTAAAAAGTCTTCATTTCTTGTTAAGTTCTTAAAAATGTTCAGACCCTCAGTTTGAGTTTGGAATTACCCATAGGTTCATCCAAATCCCTCAAACAAGGGCCCTGATACCAAATTGAAACACCTCAAATTTTAGACCAAAATTTTCATTTTTAAAACTTCCAAAAACATAGTTCACATCCAAATATCAAGTACAAGTCAATCCCAAAATCACAAGTATCAGAGTACATAAAAGATCAAGTCCCAGTAGTAAATTCCCAGAGCATGTGTACAATCAGATCTTCGCCTTCCCGCGGTCCTACGAAGTACCTGCCATATATATATCAACAAATGTAAGCACAAAGCTTAGTAGATTCCCCAAATATACCACATATAACTCAACATAAATAAACAACTATGGGTTATCTGCAACCCTAGGACTATCAGCAGTCCCGTTGAGCTAACAACATGCTCAGGAGGTTATACGCAACCCCTGGTTGGCTAACAGCAACCCCAACTGAACAATTATCATAACAACATAGAACATAACATACACAACATAACATAACAGCAAGACCCATCTGGTAATAATAATACAACTATCCTACCATACACGTAAGAGTAAGTGAGGAGACTCACCTGATACTGATGACACGAAAACCTAGCACCAGAAATTGCCGGATCTAGACTCCGTCTAGTTAACAAAATAATTAACTTTATTTAAAATTAAGGTCCAAATCGCTCACGAGTCCAAAGTCCATAGATAAACTCACTAAGGGCAAAAAGGACCATTTTGCCCCTCCCTAGGTCAAAAACCCTAAACTTTGACCAAAAGTCAAAGTCAACAAAGGTCAATAGAAAGTCAACACCCAGCGAGTACGTTGGGCGTACTACTCCCAACGCTGGGCGTACAACTAAGCAAACATGTGACGGGGAACATCCAGGCTACGTTGCGCGTAGCCAAGAGTACGCACGACGTACTCCCTAAAATTTCAAATCCTTATCCAAATGTCTTAATCCGTTAAGACATTCATCCCAACTTCAGATCTAACTAATTTTAAGCTTCTTATTCGATAAAGTCGTGGGCTTTAAGCCTTTGCATGGCTATGGGAGGCTAGACCATCATTTCACCCCTTTCAAACTACTTTACTCATGCATGGGACACAAAGGAAGATCAAGCATGCTTTTTTTATCCATCTAGATGCCCTAAAATGCATGAAAGGACAACCTAAACTTTATGGAGAGTCACAAACTCAAAAAGGTCTAAACTTGAGGACTTAAACTCATAAATCTTGCACCAAAAGATATCTAAGAGGATAGTAGCCAAGGTACAAGCTTTATACCTGAAAATGATACACAAAGATGGGTGGTTTCTGGATCTCTAAGGTGGATGTCACCTTCTTCTTCTTCTTCTTCTTCTTCTTCTTCTTCTTCTAACTTCACTCTTTAACTACAAGGGCCAAGAATCACTTTAAGCTTGCAAAATCACACTCACAAGCACACACTCGAGATTTAGGGTTTAGGGAAGGTTGGAGGCTGATAAAGGTGGCTAGAAATAAGGCTATCATGTTCCTTAAATAGAGACACAAGAAATATTAGGGTTTGCATACTGAGCCTAGTACGCCCAACATACCCTTTGGTACGCCCAACGTACTAGGTGTTCTCCGCGTTCTGCATGGTACATGAGTACGCGCATCGTACTCATGCGTACGCCCCACATATTGACTTGCCAACTTATCATATAAAGGGACCGATTTTGACAAAAAGGGGAAAGATTCAAGAATAACAATTGTACCTTAATCCGAGATGTTACACAAATGATTAATGTTTTACAAACATATCTTACCAGACATCCCAGAGCCACAAAACATAACCGGAAACAACCCCTAACATTTTTCTTAATGTTGGTGAAAGTTCCCAGGTTGGTTATCACAAAACATAACTGAAAACAATCCCTAATATATTTTTTTTAATGTTGGTGAAAGTTCTCAGGTTGGTTAATTCAAGATTATGAAAGTAAACAGGGAGCTGTCAAAGCTTTCTTTGCATATTCGATTTGATGAACTCATTTTCAAATGTTGAAAAAAAAACAATTCTAAATTTTTGGTTGTAAGTAAAACAAAAGATGAAAAACAACGAATGTGTAGTGCAAAGATTCTAAATTGTATGTAAAAATGTCCAAAATATACGACGACAATTTATAGTGTGTGTTCGAAATATCTGAAATGTATGATGTGAGTCCTAAATTTACTATGTCAGTCTAGAATGTCCGATGTCAAACTCTAAAATACATTTAAGTAAGTTGTTATCAATCATCTAATAACTCTAATAACTCTGAAGTGAACGTAACTACTCCGATTTTTCAAAACCAAAAAAGGGTTAATTTTGTGAATGATTTCCTTTATTAAGGGTTAGGTTTGTTAATATCGCATTTAACTACGTAGATATCCTCTTAACACAACACCCTGCCCTCACGCGCCTTGCGGAGCGTTGGATCGGGTACTCGGACGACTCATCGTCAAGAAGTCGTTAAATAATCGAATTCCTCTTGTATTTCCCCTTTTCCTCTCTCCGGGTGTTCTACATCGACGGGCCGGCGGCACTGTCAAGAACCCTAGTTCCCTAAATCCCCCCATGCTTTCTTTAATTCACATGTAACACACCACTAAAATCTCAAATCATTTTGTGTATATATAACATATAGCGCCGGTGGTGGTGTTTGGGGGATTTTTGCAAAAAAAAAAAAAAAAAAAAAAAAAAAAGTTAAACCTAACAATGCTCGAAACCCCTGCCGATTCATCATCTACGGTCAACATTGCCAACATCAAACGCTATGCTCCTCCTAATCAAAGGTATGTGTTTTCTCTCCGTTTACATTGATTTGGTTGATTTTGACCTAAACGGCGTTATTTGCTTCACTTGCTTATATTTAGGAATCGATCCCTTGGAAGGAGAAAGTCTGGAGGAGGTAAACGACTTTTTCTTAGCATTTAACTTCTTTATTATCGTTAAATCGTGATAGGAGAAGCTGAATTCACTTGCATAAACAGATATTAGGGTTTTGGGATGTGTAATTTTCCTTTCTAATAGTTTTTTCCCAGCTCAGTTGTTCTTTGTGTAGCAAGTATGCTTCTTTTGATTTGTAGATAGTCGTCAACTTATCTTTTGATGTCCATGTCCTTTGAATCCATGATCTGAGGTTTATTGTTGCCTTAAAAGTTAAGAGATAGGAAGAACACCTGAATCATCCTCATATTCTAGATCGGAGGAATGGAAATCAGCAAATTATCTTTCTTATTAATGGAAAACATTGCATTTGGTTATAACTATAGTAAGTATTGGAAACTAGTGTGAGAAAATGCAGCAAATATGTCAGATTCATTGAGATCAATTGGTATCAATCACTATATCAGATTCAGATTTTGTGTTACGCTCTTATATAACTTTCATTTGGGTGATTTTGATTATATGCAGATAGATTGGAAAAGGCAGGTAGTTATGGGAATGATGGGGATAAAAATCAAAGAAATGTTCCTATTTTGGATCATGCTGATCCACCACGCTTAATTGGGTTGCAAGGATGCTGTAGCAGTGAAGCTTATCAACTCCTCAACAACCGTATGTACTTCCTTAATTACTTTATTCATTGAATTGAAGCCAAGTCTACTTTTAAATATTGACAATAATTCTCTCATTATTGCAGGTTGGGCAGCTGCTATCAATGCATATGAAAATCCCTCAACTGATTTAGCCGGTGAGTAAAGGACTCAGCTTTCATCATTCATTCATGAACAATTTAAAGGACAAACCGTTAAAATTTAGTTGCAAAGTGAGGTCTTTTTTTTTTTTTTTTTATCTTTCCTTTTTTGCGATTTTGTGAAAAGAAAAGTTTCTTGCAAAAAAGCATAAACAGATAGAAACAAACTTATTTATTTATGTATATTTTTTTTGTTTTGTAGATCGACCGGTTATGTATTCAGGAAGCAGTGCATCAGCATGGGGACAATTTCGACTTCCTCATCAGGTTATAATAATACAACAAATGTTTTTCATTCATCTTCTCTCTCTCTCTCTCTCTCTCTCTCAAACCATTTTTATTGTAATTTCTTTTTTCAGATGATTTCTCAGGCAGGCAGAGTTGGAGTTGGAGCTTCAGGGAGTCAGATTGATTTCTTAGGTGAACTCAGGCAAGCAATGCGAAGCCATAACTCAAACACCCATTTCTGAGTTCTGACAAGTAAACACAGTCAGAGCTTTTGGTTGTTTGGCCCATAATATCTTTCAGTTGCTGTTGTATTTGTTGTTAACTTGAATTTCTGTTGGATTCGATCCCAAAGAAGGATCATTTGTACTCTAGATTTTAATGCAATTGGATGATACTTTTTTAGTTTTTTAGTTATATACTAGTAGTAAAAAATAAAGATCCAAGTGAATGAATGCTATTATAAACGTTGTGTTTACAGCATCAAGAACCGAAAAACTTGTACATTATCATGTATATGGTTGTTGTTGAGTATGAACAGTTAGAAACATGATCTTAATCTGTCCAGACAGGAATTATTCCTTGAGCTGCTAAACGCTTTTCAACCCAGAAAACAAGAAGTTTTGATGTCACTTTTTTCTCATCCACCAGAAAAGGTTCCACATTGCTTGCAGTTGACCCGTATGATGATATTGAAAACCCTTTTGGACCTGTTTGGATTACAGATACAGACAATTAATTATCAAATGGTGTTCTTGAGTTTGCTTTTTTAATGGATGAGGTTAGGGGAGGAAGAAGAACTGACCTGTGATGTTACCATCTGGGAATAAAGCCCAGAATGAATATGGTATACCCTTCTTCATAAAGGACCCTTCTAGCTGCTTGCATAAGGGAACATACATTACATACATCTTAATAACTTGTTATTAGACTCCAATCAAGATACTAATTACTACATACGCTTTTCAGTAAGATGATGATGATAAAGATGAAATGGCCACTAACCTTGTTGTCTTCAAAAAACAATTCAAGTTCGGATATATCTTGTTGAGTTTCAAGAATCGATCTTAGGGAAGGAATCACGTCCTCTTTCATCATCTCCGGTAACGCCTTAACAGGGGCTTTCGCCGGAGCCTTTGGCTTCGCCGGAGCAGCAGCCGCTTTGGATTCTCCCTCTTTATCCTCTTTAGTTTCGGCAGCAACTAAAAGATGCAAACAGTAGTTTTATTTTATTCGAGATGATTACCATTACCGAAACCAACCAAAGGATAAACCATAAACCGAAATACGAGCATCCCTAAAAATATGTGCAAATTCAGAAACTAAACCGTAATTGTCTGACACTGCTGAGAATACCAGTAGAAGCGGCGGATGACTCTTGGACTGCGTAGCAAACGGCGTTCCGATGCGAAATGACAAATTTAGCTGCAATCTGTTCATGGACACCAAAATCCGATCAACAATTCACCATCAGCAATAAACTACTCTCGGTGTGTGTGCGTGAGTGATTATCAGATATGATTAGTCACAGCAATGGTACCAGAGGGAAGGAAGAGAAACTAGATTTAGGATCTCGACAACAGTGTGGAGAAGATGGAAAATGCAAATTCAAATTCGACAACGTAATTAATCCTCCTGTGGTTGCTATTTTAAGCGATGGTGATGATGATGATACATACTGCTTCATCATCGTCTTTGTATGATCTTGAAGCACCAACCTGTTTTCCCCGAACCAAAATTGTTAGGGTTTGAATTGTGGAGAGAGGGGGAGAAGAGAATGAGGTGCATTGAGAACTGGGGAGTGGGGGGTAAGTTTGTTAATGTCGTCCACAAACTGCTTTGGAGGATTTGGTACCACTGGGTTAAATTTAGGACCCCTTTGTTTGTATATGGAGAATCAGAAGACGACAACTAATTTCTTTGCTGGTTGTTGATTTACGTTTTAACTCGGGTTTAACCAGTTGAAAGTTGTACCAGGTGTGACTCAATGTTATCTTTGAAAAAGAAATATTGTCATTTATAACTTAACGAATAAAAAAATGCCACAGATTAATCAAACTCAATTACAACCGAGGGACCAAATTCTACTTACATTAGAGATTGTATTAAAAATCCAAAAAAAGAAAAAGATTGAGTAACAATCTAATTATTTTTTTTTATTTTTTTACTAGGTTTTGCCTATCTAAAGTCTAAATAACCCAAAGGTCCGTGATGAAACTGCATCAAAACAATTGCCTTGATTCACATTAAATTTGGTGATATCGACCCACTTAATCACATTAACCACCAAATTTGCGTTGATTCACATTATTTTGCATAGTCACACCAAGAGCTACAAAACGAATAGACTTGCCCATATTACAATTTAGAGGAAGATGACATTGTGGGTGTTACAAAAGGGATAAGGCACAAAATCAACATCAAACCCTTTTGTCCACCAAATTGGCTTTAGTGGGTGCGATCTAAACTCACCCTCCACGTCATAATACTAAGCTTAATGAGAATAAAACTATTCCAACGAGTGACGTTGTTCCCCGTAGGCAAGGAGCATCATCCAAAAGCCACAAACCGAGGACGCCAAATAAGCACAGTAGAATCCATATGTTTATTTGATTCAAGATGTCAAACGAGGAAGTCTACACAAACTTTACTCACCAAACAAACAATTTACTCTTGCTCAACGTGTAAATTATGAGAAACTTTTTCTTCAAAACAAAATCACCCAACCACCGATCATCCAAGAACTAGGTCCATAAACCATAACCCACTTTAATCGTTTTGATAAATACTTCTTATTATCTTATACATTCCCTTGCCACCTCTAATGTCCTTTCATGGCTAAAGAGTAGATGTTTCAACATATATAGTTCGGCCGGACCGGACTAGCGAAATGTTAACTAATAATTTTTTAGTTAAAATGGGCCGGATATGTTGGCTTGTTGGACCTATTTAATCTATCCCAGTTAAACTATTTATTAGTTTTACTAACTTGATGGAATGGATATAATCACCTCTAACAAATAGTAAAAGGAAGATAAAAAAGACTCAAGAAAAGAATACCATGTATGGCATGAGAATGGACATTTTCAACCACAATTGTTTTCATGTTTTCAATTTTCATTGTTATCTAAAACAATTGATTTCTACAAGCTAAAACTTAAGTACTTATATCAAACATTTCAAGATGCCAATATAAAATCGTATATTATTGTTGTGGCAATGTTTACTTTACACTTAATATATTTCTCATTTAGGCATCATATAATGATGATTATATCTGAATAGGTACGTTTCATTCTATATTCTTTTTCAAGGTTTTAACATTTCTCATATTTCTTTCTATGATATTAGTGTTAGTCTATCACATATTGAGCCAACACGGTTCTATAACTTTATATATATATATATATATATATATATATATATATATATATATATATATATATATATATGTTAAGAGCATTCATTCTCTCCATAAGGACCCTTTTGAAGAGTAAACTAAAAACTCCACTTATAACTTACAATTAGAACTAATAGAACATATACTATAATCAGGTTTATCATTAAAATTCAAATTCTTACATTAATCATATGCTTTGTCCATTTACTAATTATAGATAATATAGTTTGGTTTCATGGTCAATTTGACAACTAATACTATCATTGATAATTTATATATTTGATTGATGACTTTTGTTCCATAATTAGCATCACTAAAACTGATAATGACCTCACATGTTCACCAATGAATCATTATTCGATTAACGGGTCAAAGTAAAATCATGATCTTGATGTGCAGAGATGATTTCGTTTCAAACCATGATCAAGAGATAAAATCATCGACACACATCATCCTATAGGTTAATCTTGATGAACTCTAGAGCTCAAAGAGCTCATGAGTTGGTTTGGGAAGCAAATGTGAAGTTAAAATCTTCATGTATTCGTAGATCGTTGTGGATCTCTGGCAATATGAATTCCTTCTAACTCGACACCACCACCTCCTCCTCCTCCTCCACCACCCCCGCCGCCACCAGGGCCGTCTTGGGCAGAGTTATTGGTTATGGCGTTTAGAGCTTTATTTCTCTTGGCTTTGTGAGCCCAACTAATAAGACCTACTTGTACATGCTCTTCAAATATCGACTTCTTGAAACTACTTCCCATCTGCGTCATAGTATCATGCGTTTAACATCTCTTTGTAAAGTCGGAATTACAAGTTTGACCTTAAAAACAACAAAAGACGAAACAAATTACCTGTGTTACCAGCGCATAAAGTGGTAGAGTACTGTAACTGCATAAAACTTGAATAAAAACCCTAAACCAAACAAAAAACAAATTAATGAATTTTAATCATTAACACATTTTGAATCCCAAACAATGTTTTAATTTATTTACCCAATGATGAGTCTGGGGATAATGTAGATCAATTTTTCCATTATGCACGAGTCGAATCCAAATTGAATCTGTTGATAAAGAAAAGGAAACATTTGATGTCAATTTCTTTTTTTATTTATTAGGTATTGATATTGATATTTGATAGGAGCGTTTAATTTGGTTATGTAGAGTTACCAATATCCAGAAGAAGAAGGCAATCTCAAAGGCATTTTGGAAGAGAATAAAATGTATGAAGAGAAGGACGAGCTTTGGGCGATGAAACCAAAAATGATCATCTGAAGGTTTTACTGCCAGTTCGCCTTCTATGGCTATATGCCTCTCCGCAACTTCATGAGCCAATTGAATGATTACGTGTTCAAGCTTCGATCCCACCGAAAGTAGCAGCTGAACAAAAAAATAATAATAATAGTAATAAACAATTGAATTTTATTTCATCACAGTATTTAAGTAGAAGATTTTAATAGATCCTACTAGCTAGCTAGTGGTCCAACATATTGGATTTATTTCACAACTTACGATTAATGGAACAAAAGCTATCCAAAAATACGTATGCCAACCTGCACGAAACCAAGAAACAATAATTATTTTTGTCACCCGAAAGTTCAAAAGAACAGTGAAACTAGATAAATAAAACGTAAAATGGTAAAAGTGTTGCATACCATTGACATTCAGTAACATGAATATGATCACGAATATCCACAAATACCAACTACAACATACCAATGAAACCATAAATTAGATTTAGCACAGCATACTCCATCAATGAGCTATGAAAATGAATCATAAATTAATTAAATTACTTTTTCTTTGGCTTGAATTTGTAAAATTAGAATGAAAGCACTTAATTACCTGATGCCTACAACTTTCCTAAAATCATCTTCAAGTGCACGTATCATGTACTTGTGAAAATTAAAATTTGGGCTTCCCTTGCAATGTGTCTGCCATGCATATATAAAACCAAGATCATGATCATATGATCATTAGCATTTACTAGATTTTTAAAAAGAATAATACGAACCGTAATAAAACCGGATCGAAGAACCACATAATCTGGCCTCGTCACTGATCCATAGAATTGCTTGAAGAAAGAATGCTTCAAATTTGATCATTAATTAATTAGGATAACATAACTAATAAGATTTGAAAAACAAATTAAATTGGGGGAAAAAGATAATTAATTAATGGTGAAGCTGAAACAACGATATGATAATACCTTACCAGCCAACCTAAAAGAGCTGAACGTTTGCCAAAACCCAAGAACCGTTTCCTGATGAAATCATGATTTCTAACATCTGTGATTGTCGGTTCTTGAACTGCATGTAAATCATCACAGTAGTTGAGATTCATAAAATGAAATGGAAGTATAAAAATTAGAGAGATCATGAAATCCATAATAGCTATATTGTGATCGATATAACCTGAATCACCTTGTGTAGTGTTGAGATTTTCTTCTCTGATAGATGTTTCCCATTGCTTCCATTGGCGTATCTATTAATTAATACGTTATTACAAAAGATACACTAATCAATCAAGTGAAAGAAAACATTTTCTAGGAAACAATATTTACTAACCTTAAACCCTCCAAATACAGCAGTAAGAACAGAAAACGTCACATGTACAACTGCTAGTATGAAAATAAAAATGTGTAGATGATGCAGGGCCTCGCCTGATAACAATGGCACCTTATTCTGTAATTGGAGAATGAAGAGTGTAAATATTTGTACTATTTATTTGGATAAATTAAGTTTTTCATTGTTGTACACAAAAGCTAGATTTATTTGATTACCCTCTGAGCACAATAACCCATTGAAGTTTCTTTATCTCCGAGCAATTGGCGAATAGTAGATGAGTTTTTTGACTTGGGATCAATCATCTTTTCTTTTGCTTTTAACGGGCAAGGAAGAAAGTGTTCCATGGTCGTCTTGTTCACACAGATCTTAACAATCCTATCTTGACAAACAGACAATAGTAGTGAAATAAACCCTAACAGCATCAATTCTGCACCAACAAAACAATAAAGCTGATAGAGCTCAACGCCTAGTTATGCCCGATTAGTGCACACCATTGAAGAACATGCATAATTTTTAATGGAGATTGAGTGTATAATTTGACTTTCCAAAAGAAGAATACCTTCCTTCACTTTTTGCAGAGCTTCAAACAGTGGCTTGCGCCCCTCCTTTTTCAATTTCTACACAAATCAGAGAAGAAACTAAACTTTACACAAATTTGAATAAGGAGAAACTATGTCAATTAAAAGTTTAAAACCAACCTTGCCGGCGTAGTGTAGTAGCCGTTCGACGACGAGGGAAACGCCGACGAAGACAGTACAGACGGCGGCTACAACCCATGTAGGTGTAAACTCCAATGACGTCCCTTCTCCTCCATCACCCGCCATGATTTAGATCAATCTACACTGTAATTACGGAATTAAATACGATTGAAACTGTTTATTTTCTAATTGA